TTAATTTACATTCATATACATACTTCATATTTATACTTATAAATAGTTTATTATAGAAATTCACTAAAATTTAATTATATGCCTATAAATGACAACAATAAATAAAAAATAGGAAAGAATAACAATTTAAATATAAGACATAAATAAATATCCAATTTTATTGAGGGAGCTAACATAAGTATATTTTGAGTTAAAAACTTAATACTAGGACTATATTTAATAATAATTAACAATATAAATTTTTAAATAATTAAAAGCAATTTTTTTTAAATTTGTATGAATAAAAGACTTTAGAAAAAATATAAATATATATGTATTATCTATTTATAGAGAAATATATATTTTATCTATAAAAATGAGAAAAGTAAGTAGATTTCAATCATAGAAGTATCTAAAGAAATTAATTTTATAAATAATTAAAATACTTGCTTTGGAACTTTGCCAATTTCAAGCCCGATTTATATAAATAATACAGATAGTTAAATTTGTTTATTGGCTACTGTATACTAGAATGCCCTCCTTCACAAAGAACATAAAAAATGATATCTTATTTTAAAATTAAATAGGTAACTGATTTTAATAAATACCAAAACACTATTCGATTTTTTTTTTTTTTTTGCTACTTATTAGACAAATGTAAAAAATATTTAATAAATTTAATGAAAATAGATAACTATAGAAACAGAAAAAACTAGGTATATGAATAAAAGGAAGAGAAATATGTTTTAGTAGATATGATAATATAAATAATTTATAAATGTTAAATATTCAAAATACACAAAAATAATTATCTCTAATTAATGTTATAATAATATAAATAATAGTGGTATTGGTTTTTTTTTTCAAAACCAATATCTACACTGAAGATAAACACCAAATTCTAATCATCAAACCATAAAAACATGAGAATACAATTGTTTATTGATGTTTGTATTTTGCATAAAGTTGATAATATTGTAATCAATTATTTTAACAATGTAATTTTAATCATCATTTATATAGTAAAAATATTTCTTTCAAATATTAATATTCCAAACAAATAAAACAAGTGCATATATGTACAAACATGAGTCTAAATAATAATGTTTATGTAAAAAATTACCATGGAAATAATATTTAAATAAATATGTCTAAATAAAAAAATAACCAAATATAGATGTATATATTAAAACATTTCTAATTGAAAAAAATAAAAAAATTAATAAATAACAATTTAGTTAACTAATTTATGAATTTATTAAAATTAGTTTTTGAATAAAATTGTATAAAAAATAATTTAAAAAGATTGGTTTGTATTTACATACAAGTAGTATGTATTTTCTGTATTTTATTGCGAGGCTATTAATTATTGTACAGTATTAACATTATATATTATTTTCCCGCATTAATTTATCAAATTTACGTCATCAACCAGTCAGATAATATACACAATATTTTTCAGATTCTGACAAAATTTGAAAATATAGCTATGGCTTAAGTTAAATTGACAAACAAAAATAAAAATAAATTGTATCATGTCTTGATAGTTACATATCATATAAAATTAAATATAATTTTAAATTTTAAATTCATTGGTGTTGAATAAAATATGTTTTATTTAAATGTAAAGCATTTTAAAAACTAATGTAGTATATATTATTTTGTTCTATATTAAGAATTAATAAGAAATTACTGTCATCTAATTAACTCAGGGAAGTTTTTTTAACAAAATATGTAAACGAAATGAAAGTAATTATATTTTCTTGATAATATTTTATGATATACAAAAAAAGTTGCTAACAACATTACATTTATTAAAATATTAAATAGATATTTATGTCATAAAGGTATCAAAAATCCTCTAGCTACTTTTTTATTTAGCTAATTTTTCTCTAATCATATTTGTAGCTGGGCATATTTACTTAGAAGTTGTTGACATGAATTTTATTATGACTACCATACAGGCATAGAGTTAAGCATTTCATTAATCACTTTAGTAATTTAGATATTTTTTTCTAAATGTCCAGAGTTTAATATTTTTATTTTATTTATGTCTCTAAAGATTTTTAAATTTTAAAATACTTTGAATTTTCCTTCATTCAATTAGTTAAAAATTACAGTTATTGATTAATATGGTTATTTTTGATAACTATTATTTCACTAACTATTATAAAACTTTACAAGAATTATTCAAGACTACAAGAATAAAGTATATAATTAATAATTAATAATTTGCATATTTATTATTAATAGATAATCAAACTAATATGTAATACCAGTTTTAAAAGATAACAACTTAATTAAGTTTAAAATAAATCTATCACTTACTGTCAGAGCTAGTAATTGTACATGAAGTATTTCTCCTAAGCCGTTTTCGGGCAGGCTGAGATAAAGGTGGCGTAGCAGCTGACTGCAATACCGATGCAGTAGCTGATGCTGTAGGTGATGTAGGACGAGTAGCAGTTGGATGAACTGGTGCTGTTGCATTAAATCCAGCTGTACTAGCATCATGTAAGTGTAAAGGTGATTTTCGGCCTCGTAAATCATAAGGCGGCACATGTTGGAAGCTAGTACTAGTACTAGCACCTCCTGGAGTTGCATAGCTACCACTTGCAGCAACTAAAGGTTCACATGTTACTCCAGCTTCAACAACTCCACCTAAATAATAATAAATATTTTATTAAGTATATAGTATAATTATAATAAGGTAAAACAAAATTTATTTTAATTCTTTATGGTAAGAAATTATAAAGCTATAGGTAATTGGAATACAGTAGGTACTCTTTCTAGCATTTAGATTCCCAACAACTAAAAATAAAAGATTTCAAACTTTAAAATAGGTATAAAACATAATAAATGCTGTTTTAATGAGATAAAATTAGGTATACTCGTTATTCAATAAAAGAAAAAAAAGAAAAGAATGTTAATATTCTTGTTAACAATAGGTAAAAAAATGTTATTAAAAATAAGTATTGCTAATCATAAAACGGTTAGGTAAAATTATATTTATTTTCAGATATTTGATTTTTATTTTTATCAAATAAATTTTAAAAATTGACTTTTATGAAAAATTTTTTTTTTAAATTTAAAATAAATAGTATTTACCAAACCTTTTTAACGTAAATGTTTCATAAACAAGTGCCTAGGTACCAATGTTTTCATTATGTAAGTATTTAATTAATTCAACGCTTCAATGATTTAAATTACTAATTTAATATTTCAAGGCCCTGGCCCACGAACAAGTAATTTATAATGGTTCAACTCTGATTTCTTTTTTTTTTATTAAACCTCCTTGAAATAATAAATAGGTAAATATATAAATAAAAATGTTTATTACTTAAAACAAGGTCCATACAATTAACATTAGTATTTAACTATTAGTATTTTAATAAATTTTTAATATTTTACTAGGTATCATTTTTTTTTATTCATAAGTAGTTAGTAAAAGTTTAACTAAAATCAATGAATATCAACAATATTTTTGAAAAACGCAATAAAATAACCTAGTCTTTTATCATTTATCTACTAATTATTAGTTAAGTTAGATAGCAACAGAGGAAAAAAAATAATATTAGCTAAACAGATAATCAAATTTTGATGATTAGTGACAGGAACCCAGTGACCGGTCAAAAATTAAGCCAAAAAACTAATAGCAAATCACAGCACACTAACTGTCCAGTGAAAAACGTCTCTATATAATTACAATAATATAACTCTTTATTTCAAAAAAAAAAAAAAAAAAAAAAAAAATGGACAGCAAATAACCACCAGCAAAATGTGATTGTCTGTTTGAAACTTTAACATTTAGTATATATTTTAGAGCTCACAAAATGGTAAAAAAAATAATTAAAGAGAAAGAACACAATATTTTAACAGAATGTACCTATCTTTATAATATTAAAATTTCTGAACATAGTAAAATGTTGAAGAGATAACAGTAACAGACAAAAATGATGAAATATGAAGGTATTTCTGAAGGAGACCTACCTATAAATTACAAGGTTAAAATTGATAATCTAGAAAATAAGGTACAAACAAAATTTCCGAAATAGTCACCAGACCTATTTTATGATGATCGATACAACAAATTCATCCACCAGAACAAAGGTTCTGGTAACAGACCACTCTAATGCAATCAGAAAGTCCAAGTCCCAACTACCCATTGCTTAGTTGATAATTAAATTTCCCCCTCTTCCCCTGTCTGCCACGAGATCAGTACAGCACCCAACTGAGGTGGCCCCATGGTACCCCCAAAAATATAAACTAAAATTCCATGGTCGGCAGTACGAGACTAACATTTTCGTGCGGTATCAAAGCAGTAGAACGCAAAAGGCCCCACACGGGGCCGGGATTATCGATTCGGAAAGTCCAACACACACGCACACGAAATACATTTTACCTTGAAAGCAATCGCTTCTCGCTAGGTCGTCACACGCTACTCATTGTCATGGGGGCAACTCCGAGGGTCCTTACCCCTTCTACTCAACATAGCCTTCAGGGAGAAACAGGTAACTATCAGCGAAGCGATAAAATACAAAGGCACTTACCGGAATTCGACGTTCTAGACGGTATTGGCAGACGGTTGGTGCCTTTTCTTCTCGTCCTCCGCGTATAAGAACGGGTAGAGCTGAACGATGCGCTAGGCATTCTCTTCGAGGATGTTTTTCGTACAATTTTTAAAACGCGTCGCGTACGGTCGGACAGCGAATTGATATAGAAAACGAAACGACTAAGGTGTACCTACGGTATAAAGAGTATAAAAATTTATCACAAAATTGATTGATTACTATTATTATTATTATTGCACGCGAACGCGAATACCTACGACGGATACATACGGACACCGCGCGCGCACACGTACACAATTTTATTTATAAATACAGATGTTAGACGCACACACGCACACACTCGCTTCTGCGGTCGGCCGCTCTCTAAGCCTACTCCTCTATTGTAGATAAACAATAATATTATTTATTGGAATATTAATGCATTATTATTATTTTTTTACGAAATTTATATTACGTCGCGTATGTGTGTGTGTGTATACGTGAACGCGGCGGCGGCGACGACGACAACGACGGCGACGACGACGACGACGCTCTCACACACATACAGTCACTGTAGTCTGTACTCCGTAGCTCACGCGCACACATACAGTGTATACACACCGTAAGACCACAACTCGGTTCTCCCGCACACACACAATCGCGCACACGAATGCACCAACGAGCACACGGGCGCACGCACACGCTCTCGCGGTACGGGTCGGCGGCGAAACAAAAGAAAGGAGGCACAAGGCAGCTGCTGCTGGTCATGAACGACGACGGCGGTGAAGTCGCACGAGCATTTTATTTCTCTTCTCTCGGCAAACGTCTACTCACTCGCTCGCACTCTCTCTCTCTCTCGCCGACGACGACTCTCAATCCCTCTCACGCGCCGTCTCTCTCGTACACTCACTCTCTCTCTGTGTCTGTCGCACGCACGCACCGTAGCGCCACACAAAGTCTCCCCGCCGCGCCCCACACTGACCACCGTCGTCTCTCGATACCGCCGCTGCTGCCTACTACTACTACTACTACTACTACTATTACTATATACTACTACAATAATTATTTTACTACAATAAAATACTACTACCACTACCACCCCACGCTCGACCGAGTGCCGAGAGTCCGCATGAGCGCTCTCACTCACCCATACTACGATTGTCGGTGGCTACGGCGACGGCGAACGACGGAGCGCGACGACAACGACCATTAATGAAAAAATAAAAATAATGCAGACAGGGTCGCAGGCATCGCACCGACGACTCGACGGCGCCCCTCCAACCAATACTGCGTCCCGGAACCGGTCACGTGACGCCCCGGACAACTACAGTGAGAACTGAGAACAGACGAACGCACCGACGCAAACAGGCATGCGGGACGTTCGGTGTGTGGGACATCGCCGCCGTCGTCGTTAGGCGAACGTGTGTCGTTTTTTGCTGTTTCTTTACACGCGAATTTTATGTTTTTTTTTTTTTTTTTGTTCCGATTTCAGTCGCCGGACCCAGCCCGGCCGTCCGCACCCTACCGAGGCCTCTATACAAAGACTGTACACGATTTTTTCCCGTCTACTTTTACCTGAAACATTTACTCGTTGCCGATGACGTTAGACACGTCGTCGAGGATAATGTATTGGTATCATAGTACACACTATTATTACCTATTGCGCAACTATGAGATTATTTTTATAAATTAATCTATTTTACTTTCCTTACCCACTGCAATTTGTTTATTATTACAATTTACATTGACGCAAATAGCCGGAGGAGGGAGACTTATGCAGGGTTGCATCTAAAATCGATTTCTTTAATAAACCAATTATTATGGGCCACTAAATCATGTTTGAAGAACCATTAGCTTACTAAATAAATATTTATTAATTATAGTGATCGTTCGTTTGTTCATGTAACTCGGCATTAGTATCCCGAATTTCGGTCAAGTCCCACCAAATTCAAACTTAAGTACTCAGTACAAAGTATACTTCATCTTTAAAAAGTACTACTAGTCTTCAGAGAAATCGACCCTTTCACAAAAAAAAATATGACCTATTTGTACCTATAATAAATTAATAAACGGATGAACCCTTGTCTAAATCCAAACACAATACACATCATATTTCATATTTTTTTGTATTTGATAACACTTATCGCCGACTGATAATTTTATAGTAGGCTATCAATGATAGCAACTGTCATATTTTTATTTTTTATTCATTATCAGTTGCCACCATACGACTTTCGTAAATATTCGTAATTCCAAATTCATAGATTGTACTATTGTAATAGTAAATATTAGTGATATTACTGATATTAAGTAACATAGGTACTAACATACTAACATAATATTTAAAATATTTTATGCTATTTAGTTTTTGGCGTTTTTGCTGGAATGAGTATAATGTAGTATATTATTTTAGTTCGAGGTTACTAACTGTCTGCTTAAATTTTTAATGTCCCTTATTAAGTAATATTTATACGTCGAAAACATTAAATAAAAGTATACTATTATTCCAATAGTATTAGTACATAATTATTTTACTCATTGAATTTATGGGTTAAGTACTGTTGAAACGAATAATAACCAAAATCATATCCAGTATTCTATATGTTAGAGTAACCAATTCAAATAAAAGGTAAATAATCATGTAATAATAACTTATGTATTGAAATACCATGAAATTCCCTATTTGTTTTAAAATTATTCTCATCTTTGTATTTTGTAAATCCAATTATTGCTTTGAAAATTTTGGGTTAACAAAAATTAAATAGTTCTATATTTTTAATGACCTATCATTTTTATAATTTTCCATGAAGTATTAGTTTAATTGAACTTCTTATTACTTATATAAATAGATTTTTGTTAATTTAATAGTTTATTACTTCATCTTAGGCAAATTTTACAGTTATTAATTGAAATATTTATGGTGCCAAACATCAGAAAAAAAGGAACAGACATTTAGATGTCTATATCAACAAATTAAAATTTTTTTTTTTCATAAAAAATAAAATATGATTGTCTTTTAATGACTTAATTGTGGTATATAGTTTTTTTTTTTTTTTAATGTATTCTGAAATAATTTTAATTTTAAACAATGCTGCAAATTTATGTAATTTGCATTTATTATACTAATTTATTTCAAAATAGGTAATACAGAATTGTTTGTGTAAAACATTCAATTTTTAAAAGTAAATTGTTTCGATTTTATTGTATATCAATTTAAAATTTATTTCATAATTTAATCTAATAAAATAAGAATTTGAACATTTGACAATTACACTAACACGTACTACTAGATACGATAAAAGACATTAATTTAAAAAACTTGAAATTTTTAATTACATAAGATGTTGATACTTACGTTAATTAGGTAATGTCTAATACTAGTCAATTATATACTACAACTATTTTTAAATAAATAAATAGGCGTATAAAAATTAATAAATTATTTTAAAATTTTTAATTTTCTTGTTAATAGCTTATCATTAAAATTATTCAAGAATACAAGAAAATAATGACATGACTATAATTTTTTCCTACAATGAACATAGACAAATTAAACTACCAATGTTCTTACATAAAATGTGTTTTGGAAAGTCTCTTATTATCTGTGATTTATGTGTCCAGTTTATATGTATGGAATTCACAACACTCTAGGTAATTTTATAATTTATTAATTCATAATCAATAAGTACCAATTGTGGGTAACATTATAATTTTGTATACATATTTGATTATTAATTATTATTTTTTTCTTGTTCTAAGAGATCATCCTTCAACTATAAAGAAAAGATTTATTAGTGTATCATTCATGCTAATATTTTCACCTTTATATACATGGTATTTCATTAATGACAAAACTAAAGTAAGATAATTAATTAAATAATAATTTTATTTTCTTAAAAATTTAAATAAATATTTTTAGGTACCTATTTGGTATTGGTTGGGTTTGAAATGGAACGGAATATTTATGTCTGCTGTATCTTCACTTTTTTTAACATGTATATTATTCCTGGGTCCAATATGTTTAATTTTTTGTAAAAACATTCAATTAAAGACTATCATTAGTAAGATTTAATTAGATTATCTAGCATAATATAATAATATATCTAACACAATTTAATAAACAATTTATTATTCTCAGGTATTGAAAATATAAAATCAAAAGTAACAGATTTAATTTGGCTCAGAAATTATGTGGTGGCACCAATGTCTGAAGAATTTACTTTTAGAGCTTGCATTATACCTCTTCTACTTCAATGCTTCCAGCCAATGACCACTATTTTCATTTGTCCCATATTTTTTGGAGCCGGTAATGGAGTTATTTTAGTAATAAGAGTTCATGTCTGATCTTTGCTCACATTATGTATTTTAGCTCATTTCAATCAATGGATAGAAAGAATGCACGCTGGTATACCATGTTTAGATGCTTTTATTATGTCAGGTACATTTTTAAATTCTTAAAAATATGTTATTGTTTTAATATTTTTTATTAAATTCCACATCATATGAAATTATAAACTATATATTTGAATATACTCTATTCGAAAATCAGTCTACTGTGTGTATCCTATGTGATGGTTTAACTATAGCTAATGCGGTGTATGTATATACAAAAACAGCACATTATTTTAGTGGACATAAATATAGTTTATCAATTAATGTTAATAATTAAGGTGACCATATGTCCTATTTAAAATGGGATTGCTCTATTTTGATCATCGTGTCTCGTTGTCTCGACAAACTCTGAACGGGATGTTTTTTATCCCGTTTTTAAAAGATGTTATCGTTTTAATTACGTTATGTTCATATAATTTAATGTTTGTAAAACATATGTGAAACTATTTTAAAAAAAAGCAACATATTATAATTATTATTTTAATAAATTTTCACTTAAATGTAATTAGAAAAAATATAAAGTTATCATATTAATAAAAAATTGCTTGTCCCGTTTTTTATTTTTATAAAAATGGTCATCCTATTAATAATACATTTAGAAACATATTTTATTTTTAAAATAATCATTTAATATTTACTTTATATTTATCAACATTTGCTATTCTAGTGTTTCAGTTCATGTACACCACAATATTTGGAGCCTATTCAGCAATGCTATTCATATCTACTGGGAATGTTATAGGACCAATTATAGCTCATAAATTTTGCAATCATATGGGATTTCCTGACTTTCGAGAAATGTTTCAATTTCAAGAACCAAAACGTAGCTGTTTACTAGTTCTTTCATTAGTTGGGTTAATACTGTGGTGCATATTAATTAAATATATTACTGACCCACAGATATATTCTAACCAAATGGATTGGACTGAAATGAATCAATGTAATACAATAAACTCAAGCAATAATTTTGAGCAAAAATTTTTGTAAAATTGTAAATACAAAAACCTTTATTTACATATACACAAAAAGAGAATATTATGTACATTATAACATTTTAATAAAATTGTTCAGCTCAAAAATTTAAAACAAATGCTTCCATTAAAAATTGAAGCAATTAAATACAACAAAAATGTTAAATTTTAAATAAAAGACTGGATTATATAAGTTGTCAATATTTTTTTTATAAGAAATAAATATAATTATGCATATTATGTTTTTATATAAACAGCATGGATAAGTAAATACAGTAAATATGAAGAAAATTGTTTAAGATACCACAAAAAGTAATTAATAAATAGTTATATGTATTAACAAGTAAATATTTTTCAGTATTAAAAAATATACTTGTATATTCCTAAACAATTTAACAAATAAGAACATATGAATTACTGCAAACTTTTAAAGAAGAACATATTAACTTTGAATTTTATTTCATAATGGTAACAAAATATTTGTTGAACTTATAACAATAATTTATTAGGTAGCTTTTAAAAATACAAATCTGCTGTGACATTTAAATTTATAAAACACATTATTATTTTATATCATATTTTATTTATAAATATACAAATTTTCTTTTCAACAAATTAAAAAAAAATACTAAGTATTTTTTTTCTTATATCTACCTACAGGTTAAATGGTTTGAGCCATTTATTTAAAATCCAAAATTAATTATTTGAATTATATTAAGGAATTAATTGTACTTGGGTTAGTAAACTAAATCACAGATTGAAAACATTAACCCCTTTACTGAGTTGATCTGTGTGCAGATCATCTTAAGTAACATAAATTCTTATTTAAGATCAGTACAGAATTTCAAGAGTCCAATTTACTAGTCAATGAAATATATTACTGTTATTTTCAAGACTATGGAACGTGCATACTATTTAAGTCGCCTGAAAAACATAAACAAAATATTAAAATAATACATTATTCTGACAAATTATAAATAACAAACATTTTGATAACAACAGATATTAGACTGACTTGCATCTTGAAATTTTCTTCCAGCTTCTTCTTTCTCATTTCCATCAAAATACCAAAGAGTAATTGCGTACCTAAACCAAATTAATAAAAATTAATTCATTGAACTATATTGTATGCTTAAAAGATAAGGTATTTATAAGCAAATTTTACCTAGTTTTGAAAGCTGGTTGAACTTCATGAGGATTTCTTCGATCAGACCAAAAAAATAGTATACGATCAAATAGTGGTTCTATATCAGCCACTTGATCACTCCAACCTTCTGGAAATATCCTTAGCAAGCCACCATTTTCCTAAAGTACAAAAGAATTTAATAAACCTACAATTAAATCATTAGTAATAAGAATTTCAATCATTAAAAATATTATATAGAGTATTAATTGCAGAAACCAATTTTTTTGCATTAAAGAATAAAGATATTTTAACAAGCTTATCTAGGTTATTTATAATCTTGATTATACGATAAAAAAATGCAATTAAATGTAATAATTAATCAGAAATATGAGACTATATAAATTGATTAATGTCTGTTAATAACATGATTATTTTATTATAATCATAAAAAATGATATGAAAAAAAAAAACAATAACTAGAACAATATTAATTTCATAAACCAGACTAAATATAAATCTTGGATGTCTACCAATATTTTACTTGAGTGCTTACTTTTATATCCCAGTCTTTATTTAAATAATATATTGCAGTAATACATCGGCCATCTTTGTTTGGATTATCTACATGCTTGACATAATGAGATCCATGTCCCGGATAACAAGCAACCATAGCCTATAATAAGTGTATATAATTTAATTTTATAAAAAAGTTAATGATAAAAACTTATAAATAAAGTAAAATCTAATAATAGCTGATTTGAAATCCAATAATGCTCAATTTTAATTAAAACTTGAATATAACAAAGAAGAATCATCAGTATTTTTAAAATGCAATAAAAGACATACAAAAAAATATATATTCTTCAGTAATATAATTGATAAGTATAAGCGAGAAACCAAAAAGCAACTTTGAAAGTTTAAAAAAAAAATAACAATATCATTAAGTTTTAAAAAAAGTTACTAGTGTAGTTTTTTTATTAAAACAAATAAAATAATTTAAAAAAACTGAATGTTTATCTTAAATAGGTTTACGTGACAAATGTTTTGTCCTTAACCTTGGTTTACAAAATAAAACTGAAAAGAGAATACTTTTGCAAATCAAAATAAAATATCTCAGATGATTAGGTTATAGTATGAAGGATACTAAACAAGAACGAACATGCAGATTTGGCTACAAATCATTTGTTAAACAATCATCATATTTATAACTATTTTAGAAATTTATTCCATAATTGTTGTCATTATGAATTTAAAACCATAAATTACTTTTTTTTAAAGAGAAAAAAAACCTTTTTTATAATTAGTGACAAAAAATAAATAAAGCTGATTAAATGATGAACTTGAAATAATGCTTTGCTTATGTTTTTTAACTTGACTACTACTCATTTCTATATTATATCATTTATGAATGTATTTATGTATTAATATGATTGTATTCTATACCCACTGTTGATCGCATTGTGAGATATTTTCTCATGATATTGCATTAATTTATTTCCATAGCCCATACACCATTCTTATACTTGTTTAGAAACATATAATCTAAAAATATTTGTACATTAAAAAAAATTATGATTGACCTAACCTTATCAGTATTCATCTAGTAGTTAGGTAAGTAGTATATAAAATTATAGTGATTCATACTTACACATAGATATTCATTATACGTAACTAATAAAGAATAAAAAATATATGCGACCAACAATGGGTTAACTTAACCACCTAAATCTAATTTTTTTTTTATAATACACTAGGTATAAAGTAATAAGTATGATGGTGCAGTCATAGTTATCATCAAATTATTTTTATTAACATATACAAGAACATTTAATTGAATTGAGTGATAATAATAACCATAACTTAAATCATTTTGATTTAATTCTACCTAGTCTTACTGATGTTTGAATTTTGATAAATAATTTTATTAAATAATTATAATTTATGCCCTAACAATAACATTAATATTAAAAATCAAGAACCAAGAATTAAGATATATATTCCACATAAAATCAGATCCAAACTAACTAATTCGTTTTTCATTTTGTAAACCAAGTTCTTAAATAGTTTATTTTTCTTAACAACTTACTTTAGTCCTGCCATTAATGGTATAGTTTCCAAGTTTACCATTGTCATTCATTTTGTTTGATCCCATAACTACAGCATCAACATCACTTATAAGCTGTCCAATTTGTTTGCAACAATCCTCACGGCCATCAACCCAAATAATTTGATCACCTCGAATTGTTTTGAGATTATTACTTGCTTTATTTCGAACCAATTGACCATCCTTAAACACTCCCATGTTGTATAAGTTCAAAACTTCATCTAGAACAGTCATACCTCGTTGATAACCTAGAAAATTATCTAGCACACATACTCCATACTGATCCATGTCGCGTATAATGTTGCGACACAGATCAACATAGTCACTGCGCTGGGACATTGGTACATTGGTACTCTGAACACTGTGGCTGACTCTTCTGTTTCGATTTCGTCCCATTACTAATACATATTCTGAAATAAAAACATACACTTATAAGTTTTATACATTTACACAACATTTGTTGACAAAGGTTTGAGGGAGTCTTGACTAGTAACACTTGACGTCCTTGCCAACTTACTTCACATATTGGTGTGAATTATAAGACTTAATGCCTTTAATTTTTACTCAATCACTTCGTGAGATTATTGATAATTTTATTCAGTTCACAATTGTTGGTCGCAGTTTCGCATTAAGGCCACAATGAGGAACATGCAGGTGTAAATCCGTGCAAAGATATCTGACGCAATATTACTCAAACACCGGAAAATCTGGAGACGGACAAAATATTCTGATGATACTATGACTGACTAATGATTACCATCCAGAAGCGGAAAACAAAAACTAAAAGACTATCGATTCACTCACTACTAAATTTCTTACAAATACACGCGCAATTGAAGAGTAAAGGATATAAACAAGCACACACGGATGAAGCTCGAACTTTTAGTTCGTATATACGGTGATACGATAGGGTGAAAAACGCATGAATATCGTGATTTTCAGACAGACCGTGAACGAACCACGAACGGCACGATCACAAACTGCACGTACGCACTAAGAAGTACAGCTACTAGAGGACCTACATAGGCTACATAATACTAAAATAGTAATAATAATACTTATCTCAGTAGCGCATTATCTATATAGAGATAACACCGGCGGCGTTAACGAATGAAAGAAGCTGCCCGAATTCTGGTCACGTCGGTATATGGTCACGATACGGTATACGATCAAGACAAAACAGGTGCACAGTAAGCTATATAGCAAGCTGATTCACAATGTTTTATTAACTTTTAACCGTGTTATATCATATCCCAAATGTTTAATACATACGTAACGAAATGTTGGTAGCAAGTTACTATCATCATATACCTTGACCTATACAATAATTTTTATAATATGACGTTCAAAATTGTAAGCAAATACAAAATCAAAGACAATAATATAACCTTTCCATATAGTTCTATGCATCAAACGGCCTCAATTTCTTATAATTCGAACCGCGAAACTATATAATAATATTGTCCTCAATATTTTAGAAATGTAAAATGTTCTATTCATCACATATTTTGGTCCATGAACTATGATCTTATCTAAGGAGTCTTTATACATCAAAGTTTTCTAGTCCTATCATGATTTTTGTATTTATTATCAATGACAATTGACAGTCTGTGCATCAGGTTATACAATGAACGATGTATTTCTAAAGTACTTAAAAAAAGTAATTGTGTTAGAGAATTATCGATATTTTTTAATTTTTTCAAAAGTAGGTAGTACTTGCAAGTTGGCTTGTGGTGCACTAGAATTCTCCATGGAGGGAGTTATGAAGAGAAAATTAGAATTATGAAAAAGTATTATTTATATTTCATATACATTTTTAAGTATACGACTGTGAACAATAGATAATACTTTTTTTAGTACTTCAATACGTAAAATGGACTATATGGTACTATATTAATTATAAGTATTTAAACAGGGGCACCTCATAAAAAGTTGATCCACTACATAACTTATCTAAACTTTAAATACCTACTTATAAATAATTATAATTCGTTACTGTACAATACATAAATTAAACTACTGTAAAATCTATAAAAGTAAAAAACTATTAATATTTATACACTCAATCATCAAACAGTGCCTATACATGATTATTTAGTTCATTCATCTATTCACCCTAAAAGAACACATGTTAGGTCGATTTATCAATCGGTCTACAACCACTACTATGTTTTAACGGTACCCATTTCCACCAAAAGAGTAAGTATCTTCCCAGTTCCCGTTTTCCATCAAAATTCGTTTAGGCTTATAAGTTATAACTACCTATTATAATAATAGTACCTACCGTTTAACGATCTATTAAATAATTAGAGATAAGATTTATATGTAACAGTATGTTTTTTTTTTGCAACTTTTGATTATTGTTTTTGTCAGTAATATCTGCAAATCATCTCATGATGAAATAAATAGTAGTGTTTTTATTTTGCATATTTTCGCATATTTTGAACAAAATTAATATTGTTGTATATTTCGACTATAAAATCGCGAAAAATGCATGATTTGTGGCATATTTTATTACTAGAAGTTTTTATCGAGTTACATTATATGTATTAACGCTGTTAAAAAATACCTACATATAAAAACCATATTAAGGTAATAAGGTCTAACACAAAATCGTTCAGTTTTTGAAAATTTGTTCATTAAAAATAATTTGATATACATAAAATTTTTAATTATTGTCATATTATAAACGAACACACGAGCATATGAATATGACTTAAAACACCTTACAAGCAGATTATAATAACACTAACACAAAAACTATTTTCATATTTTAATACATATATAAATACATTAATAAAAACTCTCTTTGTCTCAAATGGGACGTTAGTTAATTAAATAAATGTAAAATGATTAATTAAAAATCTGTTGTTGCTACTGTCAACCATTCAGTGTCGTTTATAAAACATCTATACCCATCTCACGGTTTTCAATTTTATTTATTGTTTCAAAGAGTACATCGAATAATTGACTCGATTCTCATAACATTTATTTATTGTCAACATACTTATAAATACACCATACGAAATATTACAGACGATGACAAAATCATTGAGACATCGATACAAACCATTTCCAATGAACCATCGATTGGCCTGCAGTCTTCGAAAACTTTTGAAAACTAAGAACTCCGAGGTTTAATAACTAAGTGATAATATAGTTCAATGCCAACCATCAAAGTGATAATATCTTGCGGTGATGGTGATTCAATTGAGCCGGACGCCGTCGTCTCAAAGTAACCAATTATTACTAACGCATCTCCTACATATTGCAACCAAACACCGAGTGTCTGATAAACCTAACGAAGGACTGTCCAAACGGGATGGTGGCGAACCCCGAGTTTGCGGGTTCGCCATTAAGACGATGTTTTTCACTGCCGAACATTGCATTAAACATGACACCTGAAAAATTCGTAGTAGAGTGCACTACTACGCAAATTTTGGCAGTTGTTTCCAATACCACAGCAAATTCGGGGACCGAAACTGTGGTGTGCACTAATACAATTAGACGCCGTTCTTTTTTGAAGCGTACAAATAAGTTTCTGCGCCGTATATTTTGTTGCGCATAAAATAGCCGGCAGCATAAAGTATAAGTAGGTACTTATTAAATTATAATAATATGCATTAGCTACTTCAAATAATTGTGTTTAATGTAAATAAACGTTTTTTTATCTATGTTATTTAATTGGTTATTAATTTATTATTGAATGTATTATTATTATTAATTAACGCCAAAATGCAATTGCGAGATTAATCCATGCGGTTTCAGGTTTGTGAGTATATTATTATATAGACGCTAAAGATATGCAAAATAATAACACCACTATTTATTTCATCATGAGGTGATTCGTGGACTTACTAACAAAATCAATAATTAGAAGTTGCAAAAATAACATATTGTTGCATATAAATCCTATAGTTATACTTATAAAATACACACACATCGATCAAACTATATTTTATCAAGTGCGATCACTTTTATAGTCGTAGTGGTACCAAAGTTGTTCATCAAAATATCAGAAAGTTCTTTGACAAGTTACAACAAGGAATAAAAATATGTATATTTCTACATTCGTACACTACAAATGTGTTTCTTAAGTTAAAAAAAAATATTTTTTTAACATACCTAATTCCTATTCAGCAGACAACAAACGTTTTTCAAAGAACTCTCAAGTTTGTTAAATAGAGATAAGTGATAGCTTATAAGATGTTTATTAATTGGAATTGTATTTCATAGATGAAGATTACTATTATTATCAATGGCGTAGCTATAGGGAGGGGATGATGAGGATAGATCTCTCCAGACTTACTTAATTGTTATTTCCATATCATATAAATTATAAGCAAAAAAAAAATATGGTAATTTAAAAATCAGGTAACCCTAGGCATGGCGCAGGTATGGCGTGTTGTTTGGACTTTATGATTATAAATTATAAAACTATATATCCCCTTCCCCCAGAACAAACTATAACTAGGTGGTACGCCAGTATGCCACTGATTATTACTATTAAAAAACCAAAATCGAAGGATAGGTCCATCCCACATTAAATTTGATACTAAAATAGCAAGCTTTACATACTTGAAGTGTATGTTTTACAGTTAAGTATATACCGTAACACCGACACGACGACACGCCATACTCAGCATACCTATAAATATTACGTACCATACGTATTATGATTTGGTATATTTTCAAAGAATTAATTCAATTATTGACACTCAGACAATTCTTATCTCTAGCTTCACTCTTTAATCATATGTACTCTTAATAATCTATAAGTACGATTTTATAAAAGTAATTTACCTACTTAACCTACCACTTTGTATCAAGGTACAGTTAACGCAATAACGCAATTTTAATAACACTATTCATAATGTGTCATACTTTAATACTTTATTTGTTACTACTTGTGATCACAACAACGACTACTTTTGACAAAAAATATCAGTTCAAACTTTTTAAAGATTCTTTTAATGAAAACATCCACAACATCTACGAACATGGACCCGAACAACCTTGTGGTGGACATATTATCAATTCAAATAGTCATAAAATTAAAAAGTTTCCAGAAGTAATTATTAGTTAGTTTTGTATTATTCTATCGTTGTATCTACAACATTACATAATATATTATAATTATTATCATTACTTCCACATTTAATAAAATCTATTATAATATAGATAATAGATTAGTATCCATAAATATAACGATATATCGACTACTGGTTATCTAAAGGATTAATGTTAAAGCTGTAGTTACTAGTTTCGGTGAAGTAGGCGCTCGCCTAACTGCTTAAGGCTCCCTACACTAAAGAAACTTCATGGTATTGCGTGTATTAGAAAATTATTTTTTTTAATATACCTATCTACTTTTTATTATGGAACAATTGAATAACAGTATAAATACACCTCAAAATTTTATATTGTATGTTATATTTTGTTTTAAACAATTTTTACCTGTTAGAATTACTTAATTATTGTTTTATGTTATCAGTGAACTAATCTATTAATTTTATTATTAGTGTTATTGCTTATTATTGTTATTATTAAAGTTAAAGACAAAAACATCATCTGTGATTAAACATTTTTTTTTATCTTTTAATTTTTAAGCAATTAAATTAGTATTGTGAATATTATAAGTTGATAATTCTCATATCGACATTCAGCCCCACTCTAATTATTCTAATCAAATATTAAATTTAGATCCATATTTATTGAAGAAAATAATAGAAATTTTAAAATAGATCATTAGGTCATTATAAAAATATATATTGTTTAACAAAAATTGTATAAGCTAATTACATATTTCAAGTGTAGTCTTCTACATGATACAGTAATAAAATGGCCTATCGTAGCTATTCAGTGAATAAATAGTGTGGAAATGCGACAAAATATAAATTAATTTTATTCAATTTAAAAATATTTCTATGTTTTAATATTTTATAATCTAGTTTTAGAAGATCTACATTATAGATTTGTAGAAAAGTAATGGATATTTATGTAAAACAAATGGCCAACTACAAAAAAATAAAAATATAATATATCTTCAACTTAAAAAATATTAAAAAAATTGACTTTATATTTTTCTGATTGTATAAAATTACTAAACTTCAACTTTAATTAATAATAAAAAATAATGGTACACTTTTAATTTTAAAATATTACCGCGGCTATACGTGTATTTTACTAAATTTTAATATTTTGATATTTTAGATACCGTTGGACATTATAATGGAATTAAATCAGGTTAAAAGTGTTTCAGAACTATTTCAAAAGTTTATGCCACATATCAATATTCATGAAATATTAAAATACGAAACTAATGATGGTCAAAGTAAGATATATTATACTTTTAATAGTAAAAAGTTTATGAGAAAATTATTATCAATATTTATTTAAAGATTCGACAATTATTCCAAAAGCGGCCTCTTGTACCACAGAAAATCAAACAGTTAGTTTGAGAGATGATAATAACCCAAATTTATACTATTCACCACCCTGTACACGGGTGAAGCGATGTGGTGGTTGTTGTGGTAGCAGTTTGGTTTCCTGTCAACCAACCAAAGTAGAGATGCTCAATTTTGAAGAAAGTTAAAACGTTTTAAATTTTAATTCAATAATTATTTTGTATTACTTCTACTTTTATTTTAAATTTATTACTCTCAGGTTACCATTCTACAATATAATGAAACGTTTACTTTCAAAGAAAAAAAAATTATTACTGTAGAGCAACATGAGAAATGTAAATGTGATTGTATCATCAAAGAGAAAGTGTGTCTTCCAATAAAAAATAAAACTATATTATAAATAGCAAAAAGTGAAAATATTAAATATCTTGTTATGCTATAGGACTGTAAGCCTTCACAAAGGTATAATGCCAAAGAATGTCAATGTATTTGCAATAATTTAGACGAAGAAGAAGAATGTGATAATCAAGGAACAAAGATATGGAATTCAGACACTTGTTCATGTCAATGTATTGAAGAGCAAGAATGTACAACAGGATACAAATTTGATTATAATACATGCAGGTGGGAGATTTGTATTTTGTAAAAATCGCTTAATTATTTATTACATTTAGTATAGCAATGTATTTAATTACTAATTAGCCTAATTAATATTTATGAATATTACTTATAAATACAGTATATTTTTCCAATATTTAGGGAATACTATCACACACAGCAATATATTTTTACAACTTTACTAAAAATTTTAACATTATTTGTTTTATTTTACAGCTGCGAATTAGCATAGATGAAGACACTGAAATAATTCTTTCTTACCATTCATATAAATACTTATCCACTTAAACATGAATTTAATGAAAACTTCTAACTTAATTCAGAGAAGTTATTTTAATTAGTATACAAGTATAAATTATTATGCCTATATTAAACACTTAATCAATATCTTTGTAAAATAAATGTCTTGACCAATATGTAGTTTTAATAAGACTAATATCTAGCTATATATAAGTATGAAATGTAACAAGTTCTCCAAGCAAAGCATTAAAAAAAAAAAATGTAATAGTTATCAATTTAATTTTATACTTATTATATCAATGTTTGAATTCAGTATTTAATTGCATATATTATACATTATGAAAACAATGTTGGTAGAAATTTGTTTTCTTAGTTTGGTTTAGTAACTCAAAACAGTTTAACCATAAAGTTACAATTATAATGTGTTGCTTATAATATGAGTAAGTTTAAAAACGGACAACATTTAATTAGATTTTAGTTTTAAAAAGGTTTCTGAATTCTAAATAATTAAATGTTGCAATAAAATCTCCTGACAAGGATATTGGCACACATTTATCACATACAATTTTAAATATAAAAAAACGTCCAATTTCTCATTTTAGGACAAAATTACATAGAGTCAAGAGTACAACATAGGATTTAGAATATAAACTATCTCGATGTTCTATAAACTTTTTTACTTTAAGTTACAATAATTACAATAGAAACCATTTCACTTAGAACAGTTTTTAGTGATGTTAGATTTTTTTACATATTTATCTTGTAGTATGCAACAATCTAGATCTGACAGTGACTACAGTATAATTTTATACAGATTTAAAATGTATATCATGACAAAATTTGTTGGTAATATTTTGTAACTAAATGCTCTCATATTTAAATATGTTTAACACATCGTACAAAAAATAAATAAGCGACAGCCAGTATCACAATTTATTATTTTCTTTTGTTAGTTACTTTAAGTATAAACCAAGATAATCATACATACCATTGAAAATGTGATTATCTCATTATTAAACCCATTATTTAACTTATATGGGCATAAAAATGTTTATTGATTATAAAAATTTAAGTTAATAACACATATAAATAACAAATTTTGTGTAACAAAAATCATGGAATGATAAGTATAAAATAATCTTCATTTACCCAAAAAAACTTCTTATAGGACAAATTTATGATTTTGATATTTCTGGATTCGGGGAAAATAGATAGTCATTATGACAAAATCTCTAATGTACAACCTTCACAGGAGATTGATGAAAAATAGAAACAAAACCTCTTGTGTTACCTACATAGAAAGTATTGTATGCAATAGTAATGTATAGTCATGTTTAATATTTGATACACGGGAGATTTTATCATGTTGATAATAATTATATTTATAATACTAAATTTAACTTATACAGTAATTTGATAAAAGATTATTACTTATTTTAAGTATTAAAAAAATGTATATACAGCAAGAAATTAATATTTTGTTTTAAATAAAAAAAAGTGATATTACCAATAACACGATATTTTAGAAATGTTAATGGTTAAAATGCTTTTGTTATATGCAGTAATTATATCATCATTGTAATTTGTTTCTCAAATGAAAATAACAAAGTAGTCTCAGTTGATCAATAAAATACTTAAAAGTAACTTTATTTTCATAAAATAATTCAAAATCCTTTTATCCTGTTATATTGAAAATCTCCTATACAATTTTAACTCTATGTAATATAACATTGCCAATCTATACAACAAATCCATAACTATTAAGTTTTTTTTAGAATAAACAATCATATATTGTTACAATTATAAAATTTATTTTCGTATAATTTATATATAATTTGTAAATTTTTAAAACGTTTGTTACTGTTAACAACAATATGTCCTTTATTGACGTATTGCACGGTGTAATATTATGAATTTTCTACAGGAGTAATATCTACTACATATAACAGGCAAACATTACCATCAAAATATCATTAAAAATATAAAAATCAATAAAATGTATTAAATTTGAGTCAAAATTATTAAGCCATGTTTTATTTTATGTATAAACATGATCACCCTAGTATAAATTTAATCATATCATAAAATGATAAAATGTATGTAATGTGATCTTGTGTATATGGTATACAGCGATCAGTGTAATGATGTTATTTTCTCAGTTATTGGATGCAAAGAAAAACACAAGGTTAACAATTACATTAAAAAGATTTGGTTTTATTGATCTACGCAAAATTCTTTTTCTTCAAAATCTCTAACAAAGTGTCCAATTCTTGTGTGTCATCTCCAAAATGTTTGACAACCACGCATGAACATCCTACCACTTTCCTGGCTTGACCGTTGTTGTCATACTTACACAGACCACTCCATTCCCCAAGAGTTTTGTTACTGTCTACCTCAATCAGAGGAGTACTGTTTTCGGCACATAATCCAGTTACTAATTTCTTGTACATGGCTTCTTCGCAGTTGTTGGCCAACACGCACAGAACACCTATGCACAAAATTAATAACATGAAACTCACAAAAAAATAAGTAGAACTGGTAGTTTAACATTTACCAAGTTTCTTCTCCAGAGCTTTGGTACCCTCGTGAATTCCATGTAAAAGGCTGCCGTTCACCTGGGCATTTTTCAACACTTCTTTCAAAAGGTTGTACATTTCTCCGTGTTCGCCAACCTCTACGGCATCTTCAACGTCAGACATTATGGACTAGTGTATAGATACAGCAATTAATATAATAAAAATTTAGCAAATTATTGCTAAAATGATTGAATAAAAAGGATGAACCTCTTGAAAAGAAATATCAAAATGAACACGTTTTCGAGAAGGACAGAGAAACTGATTGATATTGTTGAGGTTAAGTTGTTTGCATTCTGTTTATTTCGGCAATCAGTGCATGCAACTAATTCTTGTTAGCACGGTAATTTCATGAAACCATATTTTATTATCTGTAGCTCAGCTGTCGTAGAAAAAATGATTATTATGCGACATATAAAAATAAATAAAATATATTATTATCATAGAACAATTTATTATTTTGAATATTATGATTAATTAGATAAAAACTAGGTATAAAATATAAATGATTATTATAATTTATATTATCTCCTCTGCATCATTATTGGGTGCTGTTTATAGGAAAGGTATTTAAATGTTTTCGCTTGATAAGTGATAACAGTTGTAATTATTATAGGTATTTACTGTTTAGATGACTAATTAGTAATTTTTTATTGAAAATAATACTTATACAGTAATGCTTTATATATGTATATATTGCATTTTTTTTTAGCAACACTAACACAAATACAGTGTGGACTCAAATACTCAATTGTGAATTAAGTATCGACAAAAACAAATAGAAGAATATTATACAAATATTAAATGAACATTTGTGTAAATTTTTATTTCAATAGTGTGTTTTATAATATTTTTGGCAATTCCACAAATTAATACGTGTCTGTGTTGTGTAACAAATTTTAAACTATGGAATCAGTAACTACAAGGGTGAACGATGAGAGACGAAAAATGGTAATTTAACATCTAATAAAACAATATACATAACATTTGTATGCATTTATTACTATTAACATTTACTTTTAAATATCTTTTAATATTTTGCTAATGACTTTTATATTATTGTTCTGTATATTATATTCATTGAACCTTTCCATTTATTGTATACATTTTTATACCTATTAATTTAAGTAATTTCAAGTTTTTTAACTCAATACTTACAATTTCTTAAAATAACATAGTATTAATAATTACCTAAATAATCATATATAATGTTCTGAAAACAAGAAAAATAGTCCAAAATAAGAATAAAAATAAAGTTTATTTGTATACTTAATTTTATTCATGTGTATGACAAAAGTCCGAATTTACCAGTAAATTTGAATTTTTTGTTACATTTTTTAACATAATATTCATTTATTTTCTATAACACAAAATAACTATTTTAAAGTTATTAGGATAGGTTGTTTAGATTTATTAGTGTTCATACTTTTCCATTGCAGAAATATAAATTAATCTTCATGCTTTATATTAGATTAGATATTATTTAAATTGGTTAATTCAGAAATTAGTGTTTCATTATAAAAAATAAAATCTTGGGTAAGATATGTATGGTAGTTATTCTCATTCATTGACAATGCATTTTAAGTTATAACTTAATATAATAACTGTCTACCTTTTACATCAATATTTTCATATTTTTTTTTTAAAACTATATATTGATATACTGTACATAAAAACATATTGGCTTTAAAAAATGTAAATATTGCTCTATATGCTTATTACAAATAATTATTAATGCCAACTTATATTATCCATAGAATACTTTAAAAAATGTATTATTTGATGCATTACAAAATAAAAACTTGTAAAGATATTTTATATAAATGTTATCCATAATTAAACTGGTTTTATGTATAATATATAAACTATGAAGTGTTATCTGCAAATATATTATGAATTATAGTAAATTTATAATTATATTTAATGTTGCTGATCACTGTATATAAATAAAGTTGCCAAATTTTAAAACCTTGAACACCAGGACTTGATATTGAATGATTTTTTTTTTTTCTATAATGTTTCTATGGAAATAAATATATTCTTTTTTATTTAAATGTTTAAATACATTATTATTTATTAGTAATATTGTAGTAACATTTTTATTTAATGATACAATGTACAATTATATTGTATGTTGTATTATTAAATACATAATACAATATTAAGTGTTATTAATTTCTCTCAGATTTTATTAATTGGGACAAACTAAATGCTTTTATAACTGGGATGAATGGTAAGCCTATGTATAAGTATTGCAAATGCAATATCTAATTTAAGTGGGTGGTACCTCAAAGGATAATACTCCACGATGGTAGTCTGTAGGGTATAGGTATACAAGTTAGATATTAGAATATAAATACATATCATTAAATGTTATATCATTTAAAAATCATATCAATACCATAGATAAAATTAACTTAAATATTTAATTTATATTAATGTTAATTATATTAATTGTTTTACAAACCAAAAATAAAAAAAAGTTATATAACTGTGAAAAAATATGATCTCTTTTATATTTATATGCACAATTAAAAATTTAGCTTATTATAACTTATATCTTATCAAATTAGTACTCATTTTATATTTATAAAAATAATTACATTTGCAGGTATATGTTGGTGATTTACCTAATGACTTTTTACGCTTAGACGTGGTTTCTGTTGATGATTCTACTAATAGATTACAACAAGAAGCCGCTGACCAACAAGCTGCTATGGCTCTACAACAATCATTGTCTTGTATGCAAGGAGACCACCGTGATAGAAATAGATTAAATATTACAATTGTACAAGCACGGCTAGTCAAAAACTATGGTTTAACTAGAATGGATCCTTATGTACGACTTAGAGTTGGAAATTGTGTATATGAAACACAAACAGATCCAAATGGTGGTAAAACTCCTAAATGGCATAAAACTGTTCAAACGTAATTCAAGTTTTAGAGCTAAATAATTTTCAAAAAAAATTTTTATTTTAGAGTTGTAAATTTTTAGGCTTCCACAAGAAGGTGTCAATCAAATTAATGTAGAAATATTTGATGAATGTTCTTTCAAAATGGATGAACTTATTGCTTGGACAACAATACCAATTCCCAATCAAATTTATAAAGGGGTCACAATTGAACAGTGGTACAATCTTAGTGGTAAACAAGGGCCAAACAACGAAGGAACTATTAACATAATTATAAGTTTTGGAGTAAGTATTCATTTTTTTTTTTTCTGAAAATTACTATTACATATGTACCTAATATTATATTTTTATTTTAAAGATTATATATTAATTAAATTTTCTTGTTGATTTTAAGGCTCCGCCAAATTTGGGCTTAACAAGTTCAGTTATGATGTTACCACAAATGCCAAAATTCAACAATTCAAGTGCCAGTTTAACTCCTATTTATATTCAACCTTCAGCTCCACAAGCACCTACTTTTTGTGCAGAAGACTTGAAACAAGTAAATTAACTTTATAATTTAAGAAAAAATTAATATTTCTTATTATTTTTCTTTTATAGATTCAAGACATGTTCCCAAACATGGATAAAGAAACAGTAAAAACTGTTTTTGAAGCCAACAATGGTAATAAGGATCTTACTGTTAATTCCTTACTGCAGTTGGTTGATTAAATATTTATTAAACAACTCAGGTTTTACTTAATATATGAGTGCCATGTCATAATTTGGCAGCATTATTAAAAAGTACCAGATAATACCTGTAATTAGTTTCCCTAATATTATTTCTCACTTGCTTTAGTTAATAAATCAAATGCAAATCAGCTGACACAAATAATTAGATTATATTAAAAAAATAATTGTATGTGTCTAGTCCCTCCGCTAGTAGTGTACTAATTTTTACAATTATTTAGTCAATTTTTCCGCAATTAATTAATGTGTCAACTGAAATTCCATAAACATATACTATACATTAATTATTAACTTTAGTAGTTTTTATATATATGTTAATAGATTATTTTTCAACTGTTTATAAATAATACTAATATTTTATCATTTTATTATGTTCTGTTATTGTTATTTTAATGTTAATTATATTATGTACATGTTTATCTTTTTAAAAATAACACATTAAATTATTTTATTCAATTTACTAAAACTTACACATTCCTAATTTGTAAATCAAAATATTAACGTATTTGATATAAAACAATTTGATTATTCCACTGTTTTCTTCTAGAATATTAGGTACCATAAATTTGTATTAATAATACAAATATCTACAAAATAATTACTTACCTAATACAGTTTTTGTAAAATTAAAAATAGATATAATTAATTTTTAAATTATAAATTATGACATTCTGTATTTTTCAATATAAAGCTATTATAAATTTAAAAAGAAATATTACTTTACTTTTAATATTTGGGAGTGAGATATTTTTAATATATGTATTTAAATTTTTAGTTATTTATAGTATATTAAATAAGTATAAATAATACATAAAAATAAATATATAGAAAAATGTCAATAAAATATTTTTTGAGATAAATAGAATTTTAAATAAGGGTAAACAATTTATTTAGCATTAGCATATGTGCCAGTGATGCTTTAATGTGAAATGAAATTAAGTAGTCAAAAGTTATTAAGTGAAGAAAACAAATTTTAACCGAATTAATTTAAAATAAATGTCCCTTTTTTTTACAAAATGTTTTAGAAACAAACATCTAATTCATCCATTTTTTTTCAAATAACTAAAACATTTTAATACATTATTTTATTTATTTTTTTTTTAAAATATAAAATTTGTTAAAATATTATATTACAAAGAACACAACTTTATTTTGTCAACATATAGTAAGTTAAAAAAATATTAACAACATTGTATAGTTGTATAACATAAAGATATTAAATAATATAAATAAAACAATAAACATTCATATTTTATATTGTACATAACGTCAAAAAAAAAAAATTATGTAATATTATATTAAATAACAAAACATTGTTTAATATTAAATTATAATTCAATAAATATATATAATAGTTAAAAATAACAATGAAAGTTACTGGCAGTTGTTATTGCTTGCAGCTACTTGTGCTGCTAAATCTGCAAATTTAGCAGTGTAATCCACACTGTTCTCACTCATAAGACACTGAAATTGAGCTTCCACCTATTATAAAAAATATTTTATTTAAACTAGATTAATAAAAATATTTATGTTTTACTTTTTAATATTTTGGTTTAACAATTAAACAAGGCTAATGATAGGTTAAAAAGAAAGGCCTGAACTAGATATTTGGATTAATTAAACAAAAAATGCACAATGTATACATAAAAATAAGTTATTAAATTTTTTATTGTTATAAAGTCACAATCATCAGGTCAATTTTTATGTTGATTGTTTTTACATGTTAAATTTAAAGATAGTTTAATTAGATATATAAATTAAGGGTAATAATGATCTATTTCAATGAATTTTGGTGTGAAGTAAGCACTATGAAGAATAAATAATGAAAATATCATACTATGGTAAATAAAAAACTAAAATTTTAAACATTGTTAAGTTGCTCAATAAGAGCCAGAATCATATCATATTTGAAAAATGCTAATATAATTAGTAAAATTTATTTATGATTATTCATTTTTAAATTTTTAAATTTTAAAAATATTAATCCTTTTTTAAAATGTTGGGAATTATTTACTTTAAACCTCCTAAAGTACCAACTAAAAATTAAATATTTTTATTACTCCAAAAGGTGATGAATCATTACTTATGACACAAAAAGTAATTATTATTCCTAGTTGTCAAACAATAAGGTAAGTAATTTAACTGGCCATATAGTCAATAATATAATAATTGGGTTTCTATATTGTCCTTTCTCCCAAGGTTTTAACTATTCTGAGAATAAACTGTAGATACCTACAATCTACATAATATATCTTTAAATCAATTAATTAATTTAATGACATTAAAGATACTCAAATTAGGCTTTCATAAACTTTTACAGATTCAAAATAAAAACCCCAAAGCATCAAGCCACCAAATTAGTAGTATGAAAGTCGCAAACCACCTCATCACAAAACTAAAATTGCGACTACTAGACTACAAACATTTTTCTCGACCTAATCATGTCTTTCATCTAGAGTACTTACTAGGAGCGATTCACACAGGCTGCTAGTTTTATTAAAATATAAAAAGAACACAATTTGAGCCATTCCACAATATCATTGTTATGAACTCATGATTGACTTTATAAAAATATAATTTAGTATTTATTGTGTATTAAAATTAAATGTATAAAACACAAATAAATATCTAAACAATATTTATATCCTCCCAATGCTTACTTGTTGAGGCATTTTTTATTGATACCAAAATGAAAAAAAAACATTACTAATTAATGATTAGTAATAATATATAATAGTATCACGAATCCATTTTTATTGAGCAGTGCAAAATTAATTAATTTAAGTGTTATAGGCCATACAAATTAACTAATTATTATTATTAATAACTGTGTAATGTGAAAATATTTATGATTTAGAATAGAACATAAAATAACTTAATATTAATATAATACTTACGTCATTTGAAATAACTTTTTGATTATCATTTCTTGTTGTCTCAGCTTGTTGTTCTTTTTCTAAATGACCAAGGAAACTACTTAATGAAAAGTCCATCTGAAATTAAAAACCTTATTTAGATGATGTAACCTTAATCATAATTGTCTAAAATAATGTTGAATGACAAAATTGTTTTATATTAAACAACAATTAAAGTTTGACATACATCTGGATTTAGCCATTGATTGCTATCGTCCTTCAAAAGTCTAGAAGGACTAGTGGATGGTGTTGTTAAGCTAACAGATGTTGTTGAGCTACTACAATTTGATAAAAGCCCAGAAAAATTTGGAGTCGAGAATTCATTCATGGGCGGCAACGCTATGTCCATTAACCTGTTTATAGTCGATGATGTGATACTTACATCATCTGGAATATCTTCATCTGGGGGTTTCCACTCTTCTAAAAGAAAATTAATATCATAAAACATTTTAATAAAGCTTAATGTAGTAATATTTTAATAAAATACAAAATCTTGAACTTTTACAAATACAATTTTAAACAGGTGTAAGTACAATAGTATGTTAAATATAAAATGATATACAATTAAGCAAAAAAGGAGATTCAAAATAAATTATTTTAAAGTGTATAAATGTAAGTTTCCCCAATTTCATAAAAAAAAAAAAAAAAAATAAATAATTAGAGTATCTACTATACCTAATAACAATTACCATGTTTCATGATTGATTAATACTATATCAATATATCAATATTTCGGCATGGCTTTAAATTTAAAATATTTTTTATAAATAATATATTGTTTAATTCTATGTTAACTATATTACAAATGTTTAATATTGTATTTAATAAATGTAATAACTATAATCATAAGGCACTGTACAAAATGTGACAGGGTATGTGCAGCCAGTACCTTTCTCTCATGAAAATAAATATAGAATTCTACAAGAAAGTAAAGTTAAATAGAGACATCAAATATTAATTTTACCATTCAATATTTTTAGCAAAAATTTCAAGTTACATTGTTGTGGCTGTCCATCTAACAAGATTTTAGAAAGTGTTAAAGGATATTGAAATAAGTTGTGGGGGAAGGTGTTCAATTCTTAGTTGGTAAGATGCTAAATTAAGAAAGTTTATAATCTATATTTTGAAACTATTTATATCATATTACTATTTTTCCGTTAAACTAATGTAATAATATGCTGACATATCATTGTATACTTTAAAGATAATAAATAAATAAAGTTTAAGTTTTCGTGGATGAAAGTAGATAATAATGTAAATCTAATATTTGTATCTGGTAAGTTTTATTTCCCAGAATTTATAAGTGTAAGGAAGCATCCTACAGAACTGGGCCTAACTCCTCTTAAGGCCCAATTTTGGCTTCCTCGTTTTAAACTTTTATTTTATTACTTTTTTGTTATTATACTTAGTTTAAATAAAATAAATTATTATACTAACTTTTTGGAGAAAGTAAGGCTTGATCTACATGGTTAATATCACATTGTTTGCCATCCATTAATTGATTTTGTTCAGAACTAATTGCTGGTACAATAGGCCTAAAGTTAGATGTTTGAACAATAGTTAAACTGGTCTTTGGTTGGAGTGGCAGAAGTTTTTGAACAATGCCAACATGTTTATTACTGGGTCGACCTGTCCGATTACAATACCTAGGTTGTAATTTCTGCAAATAAAAGTTCAAATATATTTTAACTACACAAAGCGTACTTAAAGTAAAGTACTTATTATTTCAAAAACCATTACATTTTTTTTTACATTATTTTAAATCTTTAAAAAATATAATTTTTCTAAAACAAATATAATGTTTACTATTTTTTTTCATTATCATTTTTAAATTGTTTTATATTTTTAAAGAATACATTTATTAGTAATTTCTTTTCCAACAAAAATATTTTTAGAAGTGCTTCATTGCAAATAATAACATATAGGACTAATAGTTTATAAGTTATATAACTTTTATAAGTATTTAAATTATGAATAGAGAAGTGATCCCTGATCACTTCATATCACTTTTAAAATAAAATAAAAAAATTATTTTCAAAACTATTAACATTTTAAAATTATGAATACCTTACATTAAATGGATCACTTGGTATAAGAAATGTTACAAATATATTAAATTTAAAAGTTAATTTAAAAATTTATAAATTTAAATGAATAATTGTAATAGTATATGAAGAACCTTACATCAAGTTGAGCTTTGAATGAACCAGTTGAATGTAAAGGTTTTGGCTGCAATGGTCGTCTAAATACTGATGATGGGTGAACCATTACTTTGCAGCCACTAACTAATGAATAAGCACCACGTTGATTTTGATCCACCTCTGTTTTAATCTAAAATTACAAATACAATTTGTAAGTTGATATTATTTATAAAGTTATTA